CCCCAAAACCCCAAAACCCCAAAACCCCAAAACCCCAAAACCCCAAAACCCCGTATAAACTTAATATTTTTGAAATAAGTCATTCTCGGAATTAATTTATCAGGTATTTTTATTTTAAGTGAAAGTTTGAGTTTACACTTAAAGAACACATTTTAATGAATAAAAAATACTTTCAAATTCTAATCCTCCAACCAATCAATCCAAATTTTCTACAAATTTAAATTCTCCAAAACTCAACTTCCCGAATACCTTTTTCCAATTTCCAAAAACCCTCACCTATACCTCCCTTCACCTCTCTTTTCCCTCTGACCCTCTAAATTCACAACCTCAGATCTAAACATCTCAAATACAAGCATTTAATTATTTTGAAATCTCTTCTTCCTCAGATGTCTTTTGCCGTTTCTGACTAGAATCAGGCTTGGAACCAGTATAAGCTTTGGAATCATGGTACTGGTTATACTGCTGCACGAAGGAAGAGTACTTGCTAGTGTCAATGGAGTCTGAAGAGGTCACTGGCTGGATATTAGAGACAATTTCGGAGAAAAAGGAGTTTGGAGTAGAAGCTGGTTCTGGCACTGGTGCTGGAGCAGGCGCTACATCCGACATTGATACTTGCTTCTCACCCTCTGAATTTTGAGGAAATCTAGGAGTGCTTAATACTGAAGCAATCTCTTCTTCCTTAGGCTCTTTTATATTTTGCTTTAACTCTTTTTCTTTATTTTTAGCCATTGAAGATAGTTTTTGAAAAACTGAAGACAAACCGTTGTTCTCATTCTGTTTAGAAGATTTCGATTGCTTCTTATTTACTTTAGGATTATCTTTCTGCACTTTAGGCTTGATAGGCTGAGCTTTTTGTGCCGTTGAAAAAGAACTTGGCATCAATAGTGTTAACATTTGGTTACATTTCTCTATCTCATCCTTGACTTCATTTATCTTCTGAGTGCAAAACTCTTTTTCATCACTCTTTATCTCACTCTCATTTGCATTCATAAATGCTTCAAACTCATCTTCTTCTTGCTTCTGAGCTTTCCTTTGCTTTTCTTGATAATCAATCTCTATCAGCCTGGCCATGAGTCTGTCTCTTTCAGCCATGTGCTTGTCCAGTCTGAGCTTAACATTCTCATAGGTATCTCCTTCCTTAATGTCTTTACGAGTAATCTTATTGTTTCTTTTAGTCTTGTTAAATTTATTGAATTTGGATCTATCATAGAACTCATCTTCAAAATCTTGATTTTCCCACTCTTTGTAGAAGTTTCTTTGAGCTTTTATCTCATCATAGTTGTCTTCTTCTTCCCCGTTTACTACACTGTTAGACTATAGAGCTTACCAATCATGTTACGAATGTTTTCCTCCTGATTTACCAAAGTTTCTCTGAGGGAATCGAGCTCTTCCTCAAGTTTATAGTATCTCTGTTGCTGGCCATCTGTAAGATCAAGCATCTTCGCTTGCTTATCTTGGATCCCATCAAGTTCTCTAGTGAGTTTTTCAATCCTTTTGATCGAGGATTCTGCTTTCTTAATCACTGCTTTTTGGGGATCAGTCAGGCCCTTATGCTCCTTAAGAGCAGAATAATTGATCTGCTGGCCTAACTTCAGCCCATACTTTTTAATTTCTTCTTCTGATAGGAGAGAGGAAGTGTTATTTTGATTTTCATCAGCTTCATCATTAAAATTATTCCATCCGCTTCTTTGCTTTGAGATGGCATTTTGCAATTCTTCTTCAGTCTTTTTGTGTTCTTCGTAATTTTTAAGCATCCTCTCTTTCCTAGTTTTGGATTGTTCAGATTCTGTTTGCATCAGTTGGTCATTTTCCTCCTCCTCTTCTTCTTCTTCCTTATCATAAGAGTAGATGTAAAGTCGAGTAGATTGTCCTAATTTGAACATACTTGAATGCTCAAGTTTGATGTGTTCTCTAGGAGGCAGAGACATTTTATTCTCTTTTGTCCCATGAGTGGATCCAAGGTCATATAGATATGCCTCTCCAGTATCCTTAAACTGGAGAATACAGTGTGCTCTTGATATAGACTCATGCTCACACAGAATATCTACAGATCCTTCTAACCTTCCAAATACGAAATATTGCTTATCTTTTAGTGGAATTGTTCTAATAATATTACCTCCTTTAAGGATCTCGAGCTTGGCTCCTGGAGGAGGAATTCCAGACCATATCGGGGGCTCATAATCTATCTTCAATTTCTGTCTATCAGCAGGCGCTTTGGCAGGAGGAAGCTTAAATTCGTCCATTATTTATAAAATCTTTCAATAAATGTCTAACTTTTTGGGGTTTTGGGGTTTTGGGGTTTTGGGGTTTTGGGG